TGCTGCTATCAGATAAATCCTGTGAGGAGGGAGCTGTGCGCTGTGGCGAGCCGCACTGTGTGTGTCTATGGACGTGCACAGCTCAGGAGCATGCTTGCACATGTGCCCCCGTAGCAAGCAGCTTGCTATGGTGGTGTACACAGAAGAGAAGGAACCAAGAGTGTTAGCGGGGGTGTCATGCTTCACATGACTGTCAATGTTCTTTGTATTTTGTCTCTACTCCTCCCCTTCCTTTGGTTTAGTTCATGCTGTATAGATAGCTCCACCCTTTTGTTCAGGTTCCCAATAATGCACCTCAGCTTCAAGCCTCATGTCTCATGGAGTAGATCACATTATGATCTTTTGACCTATCCGATGTTCATTGTTGTAAGATTCTCTCAGTTTATGGAATAAACTTCACAAGATCTACAAGGTGTCATCTGATCGAGTCACTGCCTGTGTTATTCAACTAAGATTGGAGTTATCACTATCTCATCACAACTGTAAGTTACAGAGATCACACTTTCAATGCTTAGATTGGAGAGACAGAACAGGGGGGGCCCCCAGAAGAGAAGGTTCAGGGTGGCTCTGTGCAATATGCAGAGCAGGTAAGTATAACATGCTTATTATTTGAGAAAAAATAGACTTTATAATTGATTTAAATGCTCATTACTGCATTGCCTATGTTTGAAGAAGGCTTTACATATGTTGCAGCACACGTTGAGGTTTGTCTTTTATGACCATTGATCAGTGGGCCCTGATCCATAGTGGACCTCTATGCAGTATATATATGGTGTGGTACCTTTGAAATCCTATTTGTTTTTTCTATGTTAGGGATTGGTCTATATTTCAGTGTCTCACATTAGAGGATGTGGTACCATTAAAACCTTAGAACAAGCTGAGACTACGTTGTTGAGTCTCCATCCCTGTTGCTAAGTATATTGGCTAGCAGGCTGAGGTTACCCATCTCCACATGAAATGCTTCCGCTACAACAGTTAGTGGGCAGTATTTATTGATGAATTATAACAAAAAGATTGCAAGTTCCCAAAAAATAAACCCTGGACAACAGTTTTTTAATTAATATAACTAAGTTGCCAATATGAAGATCCGCTTTCCACTTTTAAACCTACGTCTGTACTCTATTCTTTGCTCAGAGGCAGCTAAACACAGCTGTGAGTTTGTGGTCACTTTGAGAGTCATATTCGTTATTATCCTGTTTATCAAAACCCAAACACCAAAGACTTTCAAGCTGTATTGAATAGGCAGTCTGTTTTCAAAAGGGACTGAGAGGAAATTTCCATGAATAATTCACAAATGCAAGATGTGGTTGCAAGACAAATTTTTCAACACCCAAGGCAAGCTGCATAACAAGCAACCTTTTTCTTTGTTTCACAATGCATTAGTTTACTTTGTAAAATATAAAGATATGCCAAGAGATAAAATGACTCTATTCTTGTAATAAATTCTGAGCTTTTGCAGAGGTTTATAATAAGGGCTGAATGGACAAGCTGCCTGAGTCCCAAGACTCCAGGGAAACCCGTGGGAATTCTAAAAGTTCTGCACTTTAGCCCTGTTTATAGTAAGTATGTTGCCGCTTTGCAAATCTTTAGACTTCATTTAAAAGCTAGTAAACAATGACAACATTTCTATAGGCACAGATTTCCTCTAACGTATTCAATCATAGTGTGCAATATGCATTTGCATTACCTGGAGTCATCTTTTCACTACTTACTAGCTGCTATTAGTATCTAGAAAGATTATTACTGTATATAGAATTATCTTTTGTATGAAAACTCGTTCAAATGACTAGCAAGCATTGTCTTATGTCTATTTGCACCTAAGGTTTATCATCTCCATGTGCTTAATTAGTTAAAAAGCTTAATTGAAGTACCTTGGGCATACACCATATGCCCTGGCTCTTCTACACTGCTGTGGTCGTTTAGCCATTATTATTTTGACAGCCAGGTCTCACTCGGTGCTCCAGGAGGCTGTAACAGCTCCCGTGTAAAATTATGCTTGCAAACAGTGTTTGTTACTATTAATTTCATAATTTGTTCCCATTTGACACATTATTAATCCTTAGTTAACCCTAGTCAGCCCTAATTAGAGCTTAGCTGCAGGCAGATATAAATGACACAAATTAATACAGATAGAACAAGGGACAAGTGAAAAAGTGCCTCGGATGTATATATATATATATATATATATATATATATAGATAGAGAGACTTATTTAATTTTATCTCAAAATATACTATCAAAAGCAAAACATACAAGACATAGAGAACCCCCCAAAAACGTAGGCAATTAAAAGTTACAATGGGGCCCCTCGAGAAAATGAAAAATGATACAAATATATATATATATATATATATATATATATATATATATATATAAAAAGACATCCATAGACCACAAATGTTAACATTTGAAAAATGTGTATTAATATTGGCTTAGCCCCTGGCGATATCCTCTGGTGATAAAGTGCGTCGGCAGAAGCATATAACACTGGTGTCCCCACATCTTTCGTTCTATGGAGGAGCTTATAGAGCATTCTGTATATGCATTTCAGTATTATTTTGCCTGTATTTAAGTATTTAATCACCTGGATTGCCTGTGCTATTTGGAGCCTGCCCCTTCTCTTACATGTATACCGGAGGGGTACTGGAATGTCAAGTGGTAGTATTCGATGTATGGTAGGTGCCTTCACTTATGCTGTATAAGGATAATTCCATACATAAGCATGGTTTGACCTCCTTTATCCTGAGGTCCACCTATCTGGTAAGGTGTTTTAGGAGTTTTTGGTGGTGCTGAAGAATAGTACTGGAGATAGGAGGATTTTGCTACCTATTTTTTCATTGGGACATTATTCACAGCAGCTGTGGTGGGAATTGTTTTTCAAAAGACTACTTACATCATTTTTATTTCAAATGACCTTATATTAGGGTGGTATGTGTGCAGCTTTTTTTTTTTTTAGCACATTTGGATTATTTTTAAGCACATATAATTTTTGGTATTGTTACACCTAGTGCAGAGTTTTACTCATTCACTATTTATATTTTTGTACCAATTCCCAGTTAACTGCAATAGTAAAGTTGCCATCATGTGCTTAGGGCTCTGTTGTATACCAACAACTGATGTGCTGTATACAGGATCAATGGTATCCAGAAGTTTGATACATGCAACAAGTGCTTTGACATCTGCAGGTTGTCTTGGCATGCACCAGAAGGTGGTCCAGATTTGCCCATACTGTATAGCAATACAAAATGTAAATCAAGAACCACCCAAAGTTATAACACAGCATCATATTAAAATCCATAGTTTAAGATATGTTTAAAAAATATTCATAGTGGCATAATAGCATTAATAAAGAATCCTGAATTAACCATCTGTGATGACTGTCATACAGTATTGAATTACAATATCCAAATACATTTAGACCAGGTTTACAATGGTACACTGCAGTTTGGGTGCAGTGCAACTGTATCCATGTTTTACACGTGATTTAGGTGCACTCCCATTGACTTCTATTAGACTGTGCATTTTCTTAAAGCACATCAAAGATGCAGCATGCAGGACTTTATTCAAATACATGGTCTAATTAAAGTCAATGGGAGCACGCCTAAAACCACATGTAAATGGCACTGCACTCAAACTACAGTGCACCAGTGTGAACGCAGCCTTTGGTACATTGTTGTACATTTCCTAAATCAAGATAGTCAGACCCATATATGGTCCAAGATGGTCTGAACCACTGGTACATTTGGTAGAGAAAACACTCATCTAGATATATACATCAGATTCTGTCAAAATGCAGTATATGCATGTGTCCAGCCAGGTATAATCTACAACTATATACATAAACATAGCAAATTCCTGCATAACGTCAATTAAAATGAACATGTATAGGCACGATTGCCTGGTTCCCATTGAAATAGTAAATGAGATATTAGTCATTTAAATTATTATGCAGAATAGGTGCCGAAAAAACATGCATATTAAAGTGTTTCACCCGAACCCTGAAGCTTCATTAGAAGGATGTGTTATGGTGGCTTCTGATGAAACCACATGGTGCATGAAACACATTAAATGTGATTTTGACTCCGTACGTGGCTCTACCCAACCAGCCTAATGAATAATGTCCCATATGAGACCATACAGAGAACTGTGCAATGCTGTAAGCTTTGGATTTTACAATTAGTGATGTGTTCAGCAAACTTTGGGTGGTTCTTCATTTACTTCATTCATTTTCTTCATACTGCTACATATTGCTGCTATATGTGCAATCTACACCCTGTGATAGCCTTCTAACTTATACCAAACCTACCTGCAGTTTTTAATGCAATTGTTGCATACATCAGGTATACGGTAATATTGCTTCTGTATACATCTGTTATACACCAGAACCCAAAGCATTTGATAGTAGCCTTACTGTTGTTGTTAAAGTGGAAGTTCAATCAAACGTTAACCATACTTAAATCTACTTCCACCCCCACTCTAAGCCTATTCTATTGACTCTGTAAAGGAAAAATCTGTATACTTACCTATGCTAAGAGTGCTCCATTCTGACCACATGATCTAGTCCCAGCGCCAGCTTCAGTGTAGAGGAGGGACGGCCGACAACAAATGCCCCATTGTAAGTCTAGGGGTGACATCATCACCCAGGCTCTGCAGCCGTTGATCTCTCCTGTTCACTGAAGCCAGCACTGCGACCCCATCATGTGACTGGACTGGGGAGTATCCTTAGCATAGGTAAGTATACAGATTTTTCCTTTACAGGGCAGATAGAATATACTTAGAATGGGGGTGGGAATTGATTTAAGTATAGTAGTGCTTGACTGAACGTCCACTTTAACTGAGAATTGTCACAAAAATACGCAAACATTTTCCAGCATTATTATTTATGGTCTACAGATGTCTCTTTATTTCTATTCAAATATAAACACTGGCATTACAATATATGGCCTTTACAGTCATTTTTACATTCACTCATGCTAGCTCGCAAAGGCGAAAGGCAGGTGCAGGGGCGACTGACCATTTGGAAACTCAGTCACTGCCCGAGGGCCCGGGGTCAGTAGGGGGCCCCATGAGATGCCCCTGGTACCTTTTTCATAGGCTTTTTTGAGTTTGGGCAAGGACACAGGGGCCCCATGATCCCCTATTGCCCAGGGCCCCATGAGTTGTCAGTGTGCCCCTGGGCAGGTGTCGGTCCTGCACATGTACGTAAATGGCAATCGCACCACACGTGATGTATTGCCATGAATGTCAGAGCGAGAGCAATAATTCTAGCACCAGGCATCCTCTGTAGCTCTCCACTGATAACCTGCAAAGGCTTTTAAAGTGTCGCCAATGCTGATTTTTAAATACATTTGGTGCCATTCCGCGAGCGTGTGCAATTTTAAAGCATTACACGTTGGGTATCTATTTACTCAGCATAACACCATGTTTTATTTTACCAAAAAATGGATATTATATTGTGTCATGATGTATTAAAATTAATTAAACTGTATTAAACTGCATCTTCTGTAAAAACATTTGCATTTGAAAAAAAGCTGCACAATTACCATGTGACATAAAAAATAAATCAATTGCTAATATAAAATAATCAATAAATGTGTGACTTTATATCTCCAAAAACATCAACATATTATACTGTATATCTGTACAATAAATGAAAAAATGTATGTATGCCACCTAATTTTCCTTTTTCTTGATACATTTTAGTTGCAACTTCTGTTACCCTGAGTTACTGAGTCCCTCTCCTCCAAAACTGTGTGTGTGCTCCATTTATTCTGTGTTCAACGTCGGTGCGAGTGCTCCACCACCTTCCACACAGACTGCTTACCTATGTATTTGACCCACTATACAGTTAGGTCAATTAAAGCCAAGCCCTTTAACTCGGGTTTGTATCCCCTCTGCTATTGTCAATAAAAGTCCAATCCTGCCTTCAACAGTATTTGCTCAAAGAAATAAAACAGCTCTCATAGTGCTGTATATTCCAAAACACTTCCCATTTATTAAAATATTATTAAAACGCTCAAAAATTCAGTGCATAGAATATTTTCTCCTTTAATTCTCACCTCCGCCTTAAGGAAAAACATTGGCATAAATTCTTCTTGGCCCTGCCTTGATGCGTTTCGTCACATGACCTGTGATTTCTTCAAAGTGAAAAAGCCCAAGAACATGGGTGGAACATGTAACATTTCAACGGTGAACTTATCCTTTGGGCATTATTATGACACATGGAAACACTCCGTACACGTGCATGTGTGTTGCCATTGATTTTCAATGGCACCCCAAAGCACTAAGAGATTGCTCAAATGCTGCAGCCCAATACAATGCATGATAACACCCTAAATATATGAATGGCAGTTTCCCCTGTGCTTAGGTGTAAATTAAAAAAAACCCTCAAGCTGCTGAACACTTGAATATCCACCTGGACTCATCTTGCTTAACTGCAAAAAAGAAAAATTGCAGGCCTCAAGTGTTGCATATGAAAAGGAGGTGGAGCATTGGTTAGAAGAAGTGAAAAATTATTGACAAACAAGAGAACTGTAAAAAGATGGATTTATCATAATCACTGTGTATTGGAAAAGGGGAGGTGCACTGTAGTGCTGATGCCACAAATACTGTAAATGTCACTATTGTGGTTGAGCACAAGTTGATTTGGAAGGGGGAGATGCACTGTAGTGTCGATTTCACAAATCAGTGCCGTCACTGTGGTTACGTTTATGTACTGTATGTTTGATATATTATTTGTATGGAAATGACTATTTTAGGGCACTATTAAGATATAAGCTATATGGCTTTGTGAACACCACATGTAATAAGATGTTTGACACATGATTTATGTGTAGGGATGCGGATTTACACTGGAGCGGTGCACTTTTTTCTTTTTGCATTACAGTAACGCACTACTCTCTGCTGTGGTGCAATGTTACCAAAAAAGGTGCAAGTAAGCATTTTTAGTCCTTCAGGCTACTATGGCAGCCTTTTAATGTAACAGATGTCAATATTTTAAATTTGCTTTGCATTAAAGGAAAAAAAACAAAATTAAGACATAATAATAGGGACAAAATATATAGAACAAAATTTAAAGTGTTACTAAACCCCAGACCCTGCATTCACTATATTTGGTCTCCCACAGTACAAAGAACATAGAAGTGCAATTATTTTAGTAAATAGAAACTGCAAAATACCTTTTCTCATCAGCAGTTAGAGCAGTCTTGTGACTTCTATCAGTGTCCAGACGAGCACTGATTAAAGCGTGTAGGAGGAGTTTTCTTTCTGCTCCAAGAGGATGGAGAACCCCTCATCTCTGTCTGAACAGTGCTGATTGGCTCTGTGCTGATCACATGAACTCTCCCAGGAAAAACAAAACCTCCCTAGCAATACAAACCAAACTGAGCATAGAGATAAGAGGGGGACACTGGAACGAGGGGAGGATCAGAGAAGACAGGATCAAACAGTGTTTTTACACAATACAAAGGAGTAACCTCTTAGGTTCCACAGTGAGTATAACAAGCATGCTTTACTGCATATACAGACTGATTTTACTGTTGTGCGTTTTATACCACTTTAAACTTTTCAACTGGTAACATTTTCAAATAGTAACACTTCAAATGAGCACTGGTCAGCCTAGAAAAAAGCCATATTTTTTGTCTATATATTGCAAAAACGCACATGCACATTTTTTTTTCCTCTCAGATGATGTGCACTGTCACATGTTCCAGGCAGCAGACCCAGAGTTATCTGTTTGTAAATTTACCATTGCTAAACATTTCTAAAGGTGCCTGAAAGGATTCAACCTATGTCTGTAGACCTTTAAATGTCCTTGGATATGCCCAGCCTCTGAGCTCAGGAGAAATACAGCTCTGGACACTGAAGTGTGCAAGCTTAATCTCTGAAAATTTAATGCATGCTAGCAGTTTTTACAAAATCAGAATGACCAACGAAATATTGTAATAACCAATGAAATGCACTCTTATCAAGAAAGATAACGACCACAAATGACTGAAGACCACCATATAAGGTAGTTCTGTTTCTACAGAATGGAAACGGAATTCATGAAACAAAGAGTTGTTACAAGTGACATATAAAAACGAAGCTAGCTTGTTCACACATCTAAAATGGAGGCATTAAACAAAATGGATGCCAGTTAATCAGACAATTTCCTTACAGTGCCTTTAATGTAATTTTTAAGGGTGAAGTTGTTCTTTAAAGCCCCACTCTGGTATTGGTTGTTGTAAAAAAAAAAAATCCTCTAAAAGCCCTTTTTACTTATTTTAAGTGTCAGCCAAGTGAGGCTAAAGTCCTGAACCTTCTCCTGGGAGGGTCTTCTTCAGGTGTCCACTCCAGTGCCTGTATGATGTAGACACATCAGCAGGTGGACGTGAGGGAGCGAGGGAGAGATCTCCAGAAGGAAATTTTTGCTGAAAAGAGGCTAGTACATATAGTAGTTCTAGGAAGTTTTTCTTCGTTGCCATTTCCCTTGGGCAACCCATACACCCCTTACCCCATATGATAGGAATCAGCCTATGTCTGTAACCCCTTCCAAGTTATTTTCACCCTCAGGCCTGGGAGAAATACAGCTCCAGACACCGAAGTGTGCAAGATAAATCTCTGAAAGTTTAATGCATGACAAGAACGGTTATACAGAACTCAGCAGGCATTGCTTAATCTCAGGATGACCAATGAAACATTCCATTCTTATCAATATAGTTACGTGAAGAACAGAAACTGAGGGATACCATATAAGGTAGTTCCGTTTACAGAAATGAAACTAGTCTAAAAAAAACAGAAGAAAAATTACAAAACCGAAACTACCTTCACACATCTAGACGTGGAGGCATTATGCAAAATGGATGCCAGTTAATAAGACATATTTCCTTACACCATCCAAGTTTAAATTCTCCTAATAAAATCCAAGTTCAAGGACTGGTTACTGTCTGCTGGATGCAAGTCTAAATGGAAAATGCATGTTGCCTGACTGACCCAAATATCTACTCCTAAGGGGGTAGTGCTACATAAGTCAGAAAGGTATTATCTTTAGATTTACACTTTACTAGCTGAATGTTTCTTGTCTTTTCATAACTGCTCAAACTATTGCAAAAAAAAAAAAATCAATGTAAGAAACAGAAAGGACACCACAATGGAGTTTCTTTTTTAACTGTCTTTTTTAACATGAACAAAGTGTCTGTCAAGCTTTTTTGGATATACTTGAAATTTTTTTGAGCTAGCAATTATTAGATTGACAGCTTCCAAAAAACTTAGGGTATCCAACAATCATCTAGTCAAGCTGATAGAAGAGTAGAGCAGTTATTTTTTTGCTTTATTTCCAGAGTCGGAACAACTTTATATATATTCTTTTTGTTAGCTCAGAATGCTGCGTACAGTTTCAGGTTAACAGTAGGTTCACTTGTCAAAGCACATTTCCACAGGCAGCTACTATTTGTTTTAATCTGACAACTCTTTCGCAGACATTATTTAGAATTTTAAATTTTACAGACTGACTTAGTTTTTGGGAGATTAGTATGTTTTACTGCATACTTTTCAGTTGTTCTCCTCTTTGTCTTCCGGAGTAACAACAACTACTATGGACTCTTCTGGGTCATATATTACACAGAAATATATACACTACACGTTATGTACTTCATTGGGTTTCTTTTATTTATTCCAGGAATTTATATAGCGCTGACAATTTATGCAGTGCCTTACATACTGTACAATCAAGGAGAGTACAATCCAAGCTCCCTATCTCACTTATGTACTTCATTGGGTTTCTTTTATTTATTCCAGTTATTTATATAGCGCTGCCAATTTATGCAGTGTCTTACATACTGTACAATCAAGATTACAATCCAAGCTCCCTATCTCACTTATGTACGTCATTGGGTTTCTTTTATTTATTCCAGTTATTTATATAGCGCTGCCAATTTATGCAGTGCCTTACATACTGTACAATCAAGGAGATTACAATCCAAGCTCCCTATCTCACTTATGTACTTCATTGGGTTTCTTTTATTTATTCCAGGAATTTATATGGCGCTGACAATTTATGCAGTGCCTTACATACTGTACAATCAAGATTACAATCCAAGCTGCCTATCTCACTTATGTACTTCATTGCGTTTCTTTTATTTATTCCAGTTATTTATATAGCACTGCCAATTTATGCAGTGCCTTACATACTGTACAATCAAGGAGATTACAATCCAAGCTTCCTATCTCACTTATGTACTTCATTGGGTTTCTTTTATTTATTCCAGTTATTTATATAGCGCTGA